AGCCCTCCTATCTTGGCTAATGAGTGCTGCTCCTGTGGCCCCTCCAGCCATGGAGCTCTCACCTCTTCTCCTGAACACATGGAGAGACAGGAATTCCTCAAATTAACTTCCAGCGAAACCTCTTGCCTTCCTACCCCATGGCAGATTCTTCAGCACAGCCAGATATGTTATTTGAGTCCTCTCCATGCAAGAAGAGTTTCCCCTCAAGCCTTCCCCTGTCCCATCCTTAGCCGGTCTCCCATGATGAGTCACTCAGATTTTCTTATCCCAAGCAACTGCAGAGTATAAATGGATGTCAAAGGGGATGAGCAGAGCAAGCACCCACCTCCTAGGCCAGGGGATATGTTACTGGGGGTCTGCAGGAGGGATGCTGCTATAACACACCCACACTCCAGCAAAGCTCCCATTCAGAAATCTGCTCAATAACAGCACCGTCCGCTTCCATACAGCCCTTGACAAACAGGGATCTATCAGCCTCCTGACAAAGAGCTTCACAAATGAGGCAATCAGCAGCCCAGTATAATTTTCAAGAAATACAAATGAGCAAATATCTAGTTGCCATGGTAACTCCAAGAGCCGGACTAGACTTTTTGCAGATTCCCAAATACAGCTACATTTTGCAAGCGCAGCAGGAGCTCAGTGCCCAGGACCTTGCTCAGGGACAGCAGCCAGGCATTGCTGAGCAGCATCAGCTCTTTCAGGATCAGCCCAGAACAGCCCCATCCTCCCTGGCCAACTCCAGGGGTTCACATGCACGGTGCCAGCTGCGGTTCCCTTTTCTCTCACCTCACCTGTGTCCTTCAAGGCTGACTGGCTTTCCAAGCCGGGACCACAGCGGGAATTGCACTCCTGTCAGATCTGTGCTTTGCCTCTGATCAGTGGCAGCTCTGGCAATTTGCACCCAGGAATGAAAGTTTCCAGCCAAATCGCTGAGCCCCAGCAAAGCAAAAGTGGTTAATAAAAAACATAACCACCATTTTTTAGGCAGCTGTTCTGCAGAGCCCTGTGCCAAAGGGGGACAGGGATACTGGCCCACAGCCAGCGCTCCTCACCAAGGCAGTTTTCTCAGGAAGCCTGTAAATCCTTGGCCACAAAAGAGGGGGAGATTTTGAGGTACCAAGAAGGAGCAATCAACAGCAAAATGGACCCTGACATGGGACAGCTTCTGTCCTGAGCCAGCCCCATCCCAGGCTCCCCCAGGCTGGAGGAGCCCCTGGTAGCCTCTCTGAGGGGAACTGGTGCTGCTGGAAGTCTCACTGAGCTTTTGCAATTAGTTAAGGTGCCATCACACACCAGCAGCTCCCACGGTGTATAAATCCAGCTTGACTCATGCCTCTTGATGGCTGCCTCAGCCGAGCCCTTTGGCTGCCCAGAAAGAGATACATTTCCCAGCAGGTTTGTCCCTGCTGGCTCCCAGCATCCCACTCATTCCCTGGCAGCAGCAGAGAGCAGCTGGTGCAAGGTGGGATGGGAAAACCCTTTTGCAGAACAGCAGGAATATCTCAATTAAGCCAACATCCACTGGGACCTACACAGCCAGATCCTGCATGTCTTCCCCATGCCCCACTGCTCCATCTATCCCAGCCATGCACATTCGGGATGCACTAAAGCTGGGGAGTTTAACACTAACCCCATCACACAGATGGGCAACATAATTTATCCCAGGGGCTTGTTTTTATGATGAGCCTCGCTGCTGCAGCCAGTAAATGTCTGTAATGTACTGTCTGAGCTGCTGGAAGCCTGTTTTTTGGTCCTGAGATATTTTTGTTCTCTGTCAAAGGGAACCACTCTGCACCATCCCGGCCGCAGGGCAGGAGCTGAGCCGCTACTCAGGCAATTAAACCCAAGGGAAATGCACAAGAAAAAGCTCATGATTCAGCTGTGCAGCCCTTATCCTCCCAGTCATTTTCAGGAGAAAAAAAATCTTACCAAATTAATAGAGGAAAGGACAGCTCAGCCCAGCCAGGCATCGGAGCAGTCAAGATAGTCACCAAGGAGGAAAATCCTCACCAGGCTGTGTCTGGGCAGGACCATCCAGTGACATCCAGCTGTGACAACCACCTCCCATATCCCAACATCCAGCAGCATATCTCAGAAAATAAAGAATAATCATAGTAGGAATAAAAGGAATCAAAAGGTCAAAGGTGCAGGTAGGCCCATCTCTCCCTGCTGCCATGCCAGGGCTGGGGACAATATTGTCTGTACAGCTCAGAAACGGGGTATAGGAGGGTAAAGGCACTTGTCACAAAGAGACTGTTTTGGTTCACTACCAGGCTGCATCACACACTGTCCACACTTACCCCAGCTTTCATGCACTACAAAAGAAGATGTTCAGCTCCTAAAAAAATCGGTGTCATAAAAGGACCCCCAGAAATCAACCACTTGCAAGTGATGAGCAGGAGAGCTGTGGGAAAGTCCTGCTGCTGCCAGCTCCCCACTGCCTGCACCATATAGCAAGTCAGAAGGAAGAAATTCAAGCTAACAAGGCAGTGAGGGGTTGTGGGACAAGGAGCATGGAAAAATAAAAAGTTCAGCCTGGAGAGCTGGAGTGCCTCCCAACCACACAAATTCTGGGACCGTCCATGTCGAGGGAAAGGGCACATCCCAGCTTCCATCAAGCCCTGACCTCACCAGATCCACTAGAATTTAATTAAGGAGGTGAAAACTCCTGTTGTTTTCTGAATTTCATTTGATTACTGTGAAACAGAAGACACTGGCAAGGAGAGATAGTTGATTTTTAAGAAAGGACCCTGGAGCCTGAGGAGAAAGACAGGGGGGTTGCAAAACAAAGCCCCTATTAACTTTGGTCCTGACTTTCAGGTCATGCATGTTCAGTTCTTTTTACCTGGAAATGAAGATATTAATTGGAGGTGACAGCTTTCATAGAGCTCCCCATTAGCAATATTTTTAGCCACAGTAGGGCCCAGGTCTTCAAACACTTTCCCAAGGGAAGGTTTTAACCTTTCTTTCGAAACATCTCATACCACTTGCAGGGAAAAAAGAAGTTGTTTGGCTCGAGGCATACCTATCCCCAGCCATGGTGAACTCCCAGCTCCTCTGAGCAGGGGACACGGGAGGAAGAGGGAGAAGAAACTGGGGAGAGGCAGCCTGGAGCCCAGAGCAGAGCTCGGCACCGTGCAGCAGCTCTCAGTGTGGCTCCCACCCAACCCTCCCCATAGTGATGGGCTCTGGGCACAGCCAGCCCAAAGGGACTCTGGGGGTCTGCTGTCCCCACTCCCTGTGCTGTGACTGATCTCCCACACGGAGATGGGACAACAGCTCAGCACTGGCACTCGGAACCAGGAGTTCATCAGACACGTCCCCCACCACGCTTGGTTCCTCAGACCCTATTCTGCCACAGACAGAAGGTACTACACATCAACTTCCTTTAGCTTGTTGGATCCAAGAGCTTTTTTTTTTTTAAACAGCTGGTTTCTTTACATGCTGTTATCATCCATACATAATTTATTGTTTTCAAACGAAACAAAAGCACATCCAATGTTGAAATCTAAAACTGAAAGCTACACAAATTGTTTACTTTCCATATAAATATATGGATAACCTGTGTATATAATATATATAAAATCTAATAAAAGTAATATAGTTTCATTTATATGTATTATCCATTTGTATATATATTTATATAAACATTTTAATATATTTCTAAAAATACATAATTAGGGATGACAGTGCTTCATTATTTTAGAAACTTGCTCCAGCACATACATTCCACTTACAACACCACCATTGTCCCCACCAAGTTTTCCAGTTTCTCTCCAAGTGGAAACATATTTCAGCCAAAAGCTGAGCTGTCATCTGAGGAAGTTCCAAGCTCCCAGTGGAGCCCCAGCTACCTACCTCACTGTATTCAGTGTGATCACTCTGGAAAGTCTGAGTTTTGAAATGTTATATTTCTAAGATGGTGACATCAAGGGGGACCAGACAATTTTATGGGGATGCTTTTACCCATCTGTGCAGGCAGTGGCTGAGATGGGTCAGTCCAGGGCTGTCCCAGCTGCTTTGGTGCTCTGAGACCCTGGGGCTTTGCCACAGCAGGAACCAAATGGGCACACGGCTCCCAGGAGAAGGCAAGGGGCCCCTCTGCAGCCCCCTCTGCACAGGGCTACTTGCAAAGCCACCTGGATTCTATAGGGCTGTGTGGGATCAGAGTTCACATCCCAGAGCTCCCCGGGGAGCACTGGATTTATTGCATTTGACTGGGTCCAGTAGTGCCCTTGGAGCTGTGTCCCCTGAAGGAGAAGCATGTTTTTACCTCCATAGCACTGCCTTTCCCTTGGACTCTGGCATCAGCTTGGTCCCACTTGCATTCAAACCCTGCAAATTCACCCACTTACAAGGAGGAGGGTCCCACCTCCCCACTGAGCAGTTCAAACAAGGCACACACTGCAGCTGCCACAGCCACACATATCTCCCCAAAAATGATTTACCTGGAAGACAGAAGTACCTCTGTGGTGTCTCCTGCAGCACAGGAGGACATCAGCAAGGACTGAGGGAAAGAGCATCATTTATTTCATGGGAATCAGGGTTGCACCAAACGCTACAAGCTCTCCCCACTCGGGACAGGGCTGTGAGGGTGGGATGACCCCCAGCTGGTGTGTGTCAGCCCCTCACATGCCCTCCAGCTGATCCAGTCATCCCTAAGTAGCCAGGGCCAAACCCTGCTCACCTGCTGCAGGCTGGGATGCTGCAGAGGTGTGGGGCAGTGGTGACGCTGTGTTCGCTGGGGGCCAGGCAAAGGGCAGGGTGAGCACACAGGCTGCCCCAGGGACCCCAAAAACCAGTCAGGGTCAATGAAATAAACTTTTCCATGCACCCACTCCCCCCCCCCCCCCCCCTCGGTAATACAGGGCAAATTGGGGAAAAAACAGTTTTTTTCACACAAACCCTGGGGAGTCGCTACTACTCGAGTCCCAGAAAGACAGAGGAGCCTCCACCTGCTGTTTGCTGTTTATTTTAGCAGAGAGAAAAATACTGTGGACAAGAGGCATTTTGCATAACTTAACAGAAAATAACACTTTTCCTTCACAGATCAACAGGCAAAAACACTTCCTACACATGGCTATTTTTTGGTGCTAACAGTTCGATGTACTGGTAAAATCATGGGCTTCCTCTAATATGCTGTGATAGTTAATCTGAAACCCAAACCAGATTTAGGCTTGAGGGGCTCCTTTGCTGTTGAATGTAGCTCCCATCACTGTAGAGCGCCAGGTTTGCCCCCAGGGCACTCCCAGGAAGGATTTTACAGCCAGGGGCTGTCTGGGGATGCCAAGCAGTTCCATGGCTCTCACAATCCATGCCATGTCCTGACTGCTCTTCCCTGGCATGGCTGGAGAGGTGACCCAAAATGAGGGGGAGCACGGGCAGCACCAGCAGCCTCAGTCCAGGGCCAGCGAGGGGATCTTGCAGACGAAGGGGAAGGCTCTGCCACAGGCATTGTCATTCCAGGAGCGCAGTGCTACCCCCCAAAAAACCCCAGACATTAGCTGAAAAAAGGCACAAGGAAGTAACTATACACCACCCTTGGGACCAGGACCTCCTGCCATTTTGGGAGGCTTTCCCTGGGTGTGCTCCCATTTGCACCACTCCCAGGCATGCCCCCTCCCAGCATTCCCCTCCCCATCTGTAGGGGATCCTGGGCCCCAGCTTGGACATGGTAGTGGAGGAGTAGCTGCAAACACAGTCCTGTACCCCCAAATATATCAGGAGGCTGCCCATGGACAGGGCATTTATGTATGTCTGGGGGTCTTGACACAAGTGGCTGGTCTCCCTGGCAGTGAAGATGTGAAGTGGGATTTTTGCACAGGCAGGGTCTTGTCCCACTTCAGCAAGATTCCCTGGCCTGAGCGTGGGAGAGAAAAGGTGGCAAACCAATGGCTGTTTCCATGAGCCTCCCATGTGGGATAGGAAATGGGAAAATTTGACCTTTGGCTAAATTTGGTAATTCTTCAAGGCAGCTGATGTTCCTGCCCTGCTGCTGCTATGAGAGAGGGAGATGGGTTGTGAGCAGTGGGAAAACAAGTATGTGTCTGTGTGTGTCTGTCTGTGTGTGTGTATGTACACGGTGAAAAGAGAAGACATACCCCTTCTCTGTAATGAAGAAAGAAAATAAGACTAAAAAATTGAAATAAAAATCCTCTGCCTGCCTCCAAACTCTTCAGAAAAGCAGGAGCTGTGGTGCATTGAATTTATTGACAGGCAAACAACACTGAAGGTGCCCTCAGTACCCAGTGCAGCACTCACCACTGCTGTGTCTGTACCAGATCTGCACACAGTCCTCCTCCTCTGGGATGGAGTGGATCCCATCATCAGGCTGACTGCCATCCCAGTAGTGGTAGTCGTAGGAGGAGCCGTCTGTCCACTCGAAGTGACCCTCCTGGCATGGGATGGGTGGAGAGAGGCCGTCACTGCAGACCCACGACTGCAGAGGGTGAGGGGCCCACTCCCTTGGAGACCCCATCTCCATCCCCAGTGCCACACAGCCCAGGGACATGGGGAGAGACTGTCACCACTCAGCAAAGGCCAAACACCTTATCTGGGGTTTACAACTGAAAAGTTCCAAGGACAGCCCCAGAATTCAGTGTTCTCACCAGAGGAAGCCCAGAAATTAAATCCATATTTTCTTTTTTAACACCCCCACCCAATTCTGTGTTCCTTTTCCTCTTTTTTTTCCATTCCTTTCTCAGTGTCTATGAAAAATTTGCTGACATGGGACTCTTCTCCTGATGGTCTCAATTTTTCTTTCTAACATATTAGACTATATATTTCCAACATGTCAGCTTTGAAAAGTCACAGAGTATCACAAGAGAGCAATGGAACTTGGTGATTTTTGACACTGGAGACCTTTTCAGTTTATTTGCTCTTCTTGAACAAGCAGTACAATACTCTTTCTATTAATCCAGTAATAAAATATGAATAATTATTAATAATTTATATTCATGTTAGTAGCACTTTTAAAAGCAGACTGGAAGGGAAGAAATGACAACTTTCTCCATGCACTGCACAACAGATCCTATGCCACCACCTGGTTAATGGGGCTTTAAGGGGCAAAGGAGAAAACCAAGTGCCTTTACAGGGGGAAAACGCAGAGAGGTGAATTTTTCAAAGCCATTTCCCACACGATTTCAGAGAGCTCTCACCTCACGCAGGTCGTTGAGTCCCGTCCAGATGTCGGTGGGGATGCCGGGCACGCGGCTGTTCACCAGGTCGTACACAAACACGTTTTCTTCCCAGCTGGCAAAACAGAGCAACATGGAGCCACCGAGGGGGTATGTCAGCAAATGGTCAGGAGTGCCCCTAAGCATTCCCCCTGCCACTGGACCCGTGGCCAAATGGGTCTCTCTCTTCTAATTACTACTTTCCTGGATCTGGGCAAGAGGAGTTGGTGAGAGCTCAGGGAGAGGGAATGAGAGAAAAAGCCTGTGTAATCATATTGCACTTCCATCCCTTTTTCAAGAGTAAAAAACACAGTTTGGGGAAATTTAGGGAATACTATGCCAGTTTTCCTGCCAGTCCAGGAAAAGACATTTTCTATATCACCTTTGTGTGCCCAGTGCATCAGACTTGACCAGGTCGCTGCTGCAGAAGGATGCTTAGGCTGGAGCACGAGGCTACAGCTGACAGAGAGATTGCGCTGTGGGAATGGGACTTTGTCCCCATTTTCCTTCCTCCCCATGCTGTGATGACATGCTTCTGCACCCCTCACCTGTGGATGGAGGCCAGCTTGGCTGATCTGATGCCAATGGAGAACTCGGCACAATAGAGGTCGGCTTCAGCCCAGGTTTTGTTGATGGGGAAGTACCGGTAGCAGTGACCTTCGTACTCCGTCCAGAAGAGTGGGCAGGAGTAGGCGTGGACAGGCTCAGGCATGGCTGGGGGCAGAGCAGAAGACAGCTGGGGGTGGTGAGGCAGCATTGCCAGGCAGCTGAGCAGGCAGTGGAGGCAGCAGTGCCCAGCCCTGCTCCCCCACCTCACCCAAGGCAAGTAACCACCAAACACACGCACAGAAAAAACGATCACTGCGGGCGCTGTACAAAAGTTTGCAAAAGTGAAAACACATTTTGCACAAGTTGTGGGCTTCTCAGTTTTAGCATCTGCCTAAACCAGGAGGGATATTCCAAGCCAGCTTGACATCATTTTCAGAAGAGGGTGCTTAAAATAAAGGCACTAACATTTGCTACTGAGGAAACCAAGATAAGGGCTCCTCTCGCCTCTATCAGGCACCACCAGTGCTCAGATGGGAGCTGACAGCCAGGGCTGCGGGGTTATGGCCGCGTTCTGCCCTCCTGCAAGGACAGCCTGCACTTCCTCCCTCCAAGGAAACCCCTCACCATCCCTGTCCGTGGATGCAGCCATGCACGTACGCATATGCTGGATTTCAGCCCCATAAATAGCCGGGTGAGGCGCGCGTGCCGCCGGGAGCGGTGCCAGCCTATCTGCCTCCCACCACGAGATAAGAGCTGGGGCCACGGAGCTGCTCATCATCCCTTGACACTTTTCAGCACAGTGGGGAAGTTGCCCCAAAAAAGGCCATTGTGGGGGCAGGATGTCTTTCTGGAGCCTTCACAGTTGCCGCTGTGTAAACACAGCAGTGGCGTTAACATGTTGCTCTGCTCTCCTTCATGCAGTGCTCCCTGTCATGCATGGGGAGGATGCAGCACACACCACACACCCCCCACACCCCCCAGCACACACAGGTGGAACCCCCAAATCTTGGGGCTTAACTCTCTTAGCTACTGGGTTTTGAGCCTTGGGGCATTGCCAGCTCCCCCCAGCCAGTTCCCACATCCCCATGGAGTCCTTGTCTGGGGTCAGAGCTGCTGCTGGAGTGAGCAGGGCAGTGGGCAGGGTGGGTTGTGCAGGGGTTGAGAGCAGACATCAGATGCCATCAAACTATCCAAGCAGGTAACAGGCTCAAGCCTGGAAAGGTCAGGGTGGTGCTACAGGGCCTCCAGTACTGAGAGGCTGTGGGGAATGGCTTTTCCCAAGGGTGGGGAGAACAAAACCCTGCCAGCGGCAATGAGGGATGTGGCCACAGCAAGGGAAGCAACAGCAAAGGCAAAAGGAGAGGCAAGGTGAATCCAAAGCAGCTGTGTGAGTGTTCATGGAGCCAAATCCTTCCCTGTGCCAGTGCTGCCAGCTCTGGGTGATAATTTCATATTTCATCAGCTCTTTCAACATGGGGATGTCTGAGTGTTCTACAAACAGCCAGCCCCCGGGTCCCTGCTGTCACAGCTCACTCCCAAGTGACAAACCACAAATGCAATGAGCCTTTTTTCCCTCCTGAACAAGGCCAAGTCAACTGCCAGGCTCTGTGGGGCTGTCACCCTATCAATCTGCCTCGGGTCCTCCAGCCATCCCTCCGGAGGAGCTGAGGCTGGGGGCAGCTCTGCACCCCACAGCAACAAACTCTTGAGGGGCTCAAAGGGCTCTCCCATCCTCCTCAGCACTAATTATGGGCTATGGAGGAAAAAGGATAAGGCATGCTGGCCTGGAAGAGCAGCATAGCTTTAGGGGAGGGTGGCCAAATTGTAGCCAGCTCAGTGGCTGTGCAAGGTTCAGCTCTCTGGTTCACACCTGGCCATACTTGCATTGGGAAAAACCTTAGAACAGCCCTAGGAAATGCAAATTATTTTATTGTAGCAATAGAGCAGGACCAGAAACTCTGAGAGCTGATGTGATTCCCTGGGAGTCAAGCACTCCTTCCCTCATGATGCTGGCCAAGGTTCCCAATCTCCACCAAACACAAAGAAGAGCAGGGGCAGAGGGTCAGCTTCAGCACCAGGTCATGGGTGAGGCATGTACCCCCATTCAGGGCAGGGCTGGGATCTGGTCCTGGCTCACAGAGACTCGAGGTTGCTGTTCCTTCTTGTGGAGGGCAGCGAGAGGTCTGCGCCAGAGAGGCACCACCAGCAACTGGGATTTTATTATAGCGCCTCGACAAACTCCTCACCTCTAGCAGCGTGGTGGCAAAATTCACAGGGCTTATCCCAGCAGCAGCCCCAGCAAACGGAGCCTTCACTCCTGAGTGCTAATTGCAGTGGGCGTCCCAGTGTCCTGGCTCAAAGACGGGTCCATCAGCACCCCGACTGCCAGGCAAAATCACCCTCCTGTTTGTTCAGAGCAGCTGAAACCGAGTCAGAAACTGAGACAGTCCTTCTTTGTTATTCCATACTGCTTCCCATTAGGTAGCATTAATTTGACGAGCTTCAGTGAACCAGAGGTGCCTGAAGGAATTTAAGGTTAAATATACCAAAAAGGAAAATATGGGAGGTCAGCTTTTAATTAGCATCTCTTCTGTTAGGTCAGGATCAGAGGCTTTGGCTGTCTCTTTGGAGGAGAACTAATGCTCCCAGTTTTACAGGCAGGAACAATTAGGGGAGCTGCTTTATTTGGGGTCTTCGAGGGCTATTTTTAGAAGAAATGCCATAAGAAATCTGATGTGTGGTTGTGAGTATAGGAGCCTACTCATGACTCTAGGAAACCCTAGAAATCCAAGCCAGTAGCTGTGGGTGCTATTTTGATCTAGAAGAGGACAAGGGTAGCATTTTTGGGATATTTGGACCAAACCCTCACTTTTAAGCACAGCAGCAAAACATCACCCCAGAACCATCAGCTCCTCTGCACAGGGCAGGAGCAGCACAGCCAGTGCCTGTAGGACAGGGGTTCCTGTTGACCCCAGGTCAGTTCATCCATTTGTCTCCAAATTCCTGGTGAAAAATGATGCAAGAATCCTTTCTCCCTTTGCTTATTTACAGCACAACACTTTTAAGGGCAGGACTATGTTTTAAGGCAGCACCAGCAAAATAGATGTCCAGACTTGGCTGAGGATAAGATTCAGATCAGGCAGCTGTTACTAAGAAAAGCTGGAAAACAAGTGGTTTTGGATCAGAAAAATCTCTGGATTTGTGTCAGTGCCAACAAAACTGGAGCCTTTTTATTTATTTACTAGCTGAGATCCACTGTAGAACCACCAGGAACATCACTTATCAAAATCTTGCAGAAGCTGGCACTGCTCTGCCAAGAAGTTTCACTTCCCCAACTGGCCTCTTTCCAATTAGAAATAATTAACTGAAAAAGTCCTAGCCAGTTTCACAAGAGGTTTTTTTTCATTCCAGGATGCTACTGGAAAAAACAAAACAAAACAAAACAAAACAAAAAAAAAACCCAACCAGCTGTGTGGCTCCCAAACACTCAGCTGGTGAAGAGCAGGTTTGCTCCTGATCAGCTTCATCCCAAGGTACAATGCTGCCTCACCTCCACAGATCCACAAATTTGAGATATGAAGTTTGGGGCTAGGAGACGGTTGGCAAGAGATGCCCATGCAAGGAAGATTCCTGGGCTCCATCAAAGGGTTTTGGACAGCAGATCGGGTCAGGTCAGTGCTGACAGCAGATGCTCTTTTTGCTACAGAGCATCAAAGAGCTCCATTTCATCAACAGCTGACAGCTCACCAAAAAGTTTAGGGGCATTAGGAGACACCTCACTGAAAGGCATGGTCTTGAGACATCCCCCCCTTGGCACATCCACAGGCTAATGATCCCATCTGACCTGAAAAAGCAAGTGAACCTCTTCAGCTCTTGGCAAGCAGCTGGTTTGGAGGCTTGTCTGGAGCTAATGCCAAGGGAGAAGAGCTGAGGAGATCCCTGTCAGGTTGGCTGGGCCCTTCCCAGGGCAGAGCTGCCCCCAGAGCAATAATATCCAAGGGCTGGGATGCTGAGAGCGAGGGATGGGGAGTGGCCCCAGCTGGCAGAGCTGGGGCTCGGGATGAGCATCCTGGTGCTTGCCAACACCGAGCCACCTCTTATCAGCTCATGCCACAGGGAGGGTCAGCAGCATGGCTTTACCCTGGCTTGGCACTGCTGGAGCAGTGGGCAGTTATAGGGCATGGGTAAGACAACAGGGCTGGGACAGGGGACCCCCAGGACCCCTCCAGGATGGCTTCAGGAGAACCTGTCTGTGGCTAGGCTGGGGGGTTCAAAGTGCCAGCTGAGCCAGACCTCCACCCCACCACAGTCTTGACACTATGTCCTCATTACTGAGCAGACCCAAAGAATAGGCATTAAAAAGGGGAGGTTGTGGGCTGAAGCCTGTGTCAGGGGCTAAGACAGTGCTGCTGTGTGATGTTAGGATGTCTCAGGGCACCCATGGATTTAGAAGCACTGACAAACAATGCCACCTTCATGTTACTTGCAATATTTGTCTTTCATTAACAGATGAAAGAGTCTCACACTGAGTGTCCATGATCCAAGCAAGCAGATCAAGGGAGGGATTTTGGTCTCGTGTGTCTGGGGGTTATATGGAGCTGGAGGGAATAATGTCCACTGATGGATGTGGAGCTCATTTAGGCAATATTTCCACACTCTGAAATGTTTTTTAAGGTGCATATTACAAATCTCCAAGTAAAATATTTAACAGTAGTTGAAGCACATTGGAAGGGACATTCTTTCACACCAAGGGCTTTGCTTTTCAAAATCCTTTAATGAAACCAAGCTGGTTTTACAGCTGCCAGGTATATTTGGAGTTATAAGGATACAGCCAACACCGGGAGCAACACTCCTGCAGCTGGCACTGACAGATAGGAGTTATCTTGCAGAGTTTTTTTCCTTCTTAATTAGTTTTGGCAAAGCTCCCACGGATTAGTTGTCTGGCAGGAAAGTTGGACTTGTATCGATCCTTTTTCTCACGATCTCACTGAACAGCACTTAAGGACCCCTTTCTGCTCAAATTCCCAATAAACCTAACATGGTGTGAACAAACTTGGAGCAGCAACTCTCACTTGCACCAACCCCATGTAAAAGTTTGGAAGAAACTTAAATGACATACAGCAGTCACCATCACCAAGAGCTCTGAGGGAAAAAAGGGAAATAAGGGGGAATCCCATCCTTGTGGCCACTTTTCACACACAGTAAGTGTGAAAAAATTAACGGGCAGCCCCGGTGGCCACGGCCCTGCAACCCTCACACGTGTGCCTTGTGCAGTGATTCCTGCAGTCCCCGCAGGACCCACGGCAGGGCCACGGCCCCGAGCCACCTCTTGGTGTTGAAGAGCAGACACTGACACACAGAAACAAAGCCAGCCCAGAGAGACCTTCAGCATCATGAGGAGAGGGACCAGGGCTGCCCTTCTCACGCCCCCCTGGCAAAGAAGAAAGTTGATTTCAAAGAAAGTCAGGGATTTCTGGAGCAGGGGGGAGCCAGCTGCCGGCCCCGCGGGAGGCACACGCGCTCCTTCCCTGCCGCAGCCAGCGCCCCTTAAATCACCTTCACCCCGCGCCGCAGCCGCCGCCGGGCACTCACCTTGGCTGATTTTGATGTTGGTCTGGGGGAAGGCGTGGGCGGCCAGCAGGGCGGTGGCCAGCAGGGCGCACAGGGCCCGCCCGCAGCCCATGGCCGGGCCGCCCGGGCTCCGCTGCCGGGCGCTGGGGTCGCGCTCGGCCCGAGCCCCGCGGGCTGTGGGGGGCGGCCGCCGGCCGGGGCGGATATAGGGGCCGCGCTGCTCCCTCCCCCGAGCAGCGGCTCCTCCGCAGCCCGCCCCCGGCTGAGCCCGGCCCCGCTCAGCGCATCCCAGAGGGGACCCGGGCCCGGGGCGCGCCCCCAGCCCGCCCCCGGCTGAGCCCGCCCGCGCTCAGTGCATCCCAGACTGGGAGTCGGAGCCGGACCCGTGCCCGGGGCACTGCCCCCACCCATCGGGGTGCACGCTGCTCCCAGAGAGCCATTGTCACCCTCCGGAGCTGCAGGCGAGCAAGGACATCACCCCTCCTCGCCCCTGCAGCCGCATCCCGGGTTGATATTTAGTGTCCCCATCCCGCGGCGCCGCGCCGGCTGCGTCCCTCGGGATGCTGGGGACTCTGGGCAGCCCGTCACCTCGGGGGGGTGACAAATGGGACCTTCTGCCTGCGGGCAAGGCCGGCAGAGAGCGGGCAGGGGCGGCGGCGGGAAGGCGAGGGCTGTGCTGACACCAGGGAGCGGCGGGCACCTGGGGAGGCAGGGGGAGAGGGTCCCAGGGCTGCAGGGCAGACGGCTGTAATACATTAATGCCCCATTTTGTGTTGTTTTTTTTCTTGGTTTGGTTTTGTGGTTTTTTTTGTTGCTGTTGTGGTTTGGGTTTTTGTTTGTTTGTTTTTTTTCCTTCATTTGCTTTGTTTGTTTTTTACCCAGAGCAAGGCACTACAACAGCCTGGAAGAGGGAACCCCCAGCTGTGCCCGGGGCTCCAAGGCTATTTCAGAAACGCACACAGTGCCCATCTGCCAGGTCTGTGCTGGGTCCATGCAGTCCTGAAACAGCAGAAAACCTGGTATGATACAGCACTCTGTATCATTAATAGCCAATATTATCCAGCATGTATCCTTCCTGTGGTCAACATTTGGTCGGACATAAACTTCATGTTTTTAAAAATATTGTATAAAGTCCTTTCCTAACTGTGGCAGTGGTAAGGGAAAGAGCGCAGACACAAGTACTATAAAATTTTGTGGCCCTGTTCCATTTCCAATTTATGCCTTAAATCAGCATTGAACAAACTGCTTAGGAACACAGTCAATGCTGTTCCCTTTTTATTTTTAGCTACTAATTAAAATATTCAGCATTTTTTGGGACTTCAGTTGGGATGACCATTTTTAGAGGCAAGATTCATATACAAACAATTGGGAGTGATAGGAGGCCTTCAGTACAATAAAGCATCCAGACTTACTCCAGAGACAGTAACTCATTCAATCAATTTTCTATATTAAGTTTTCTTTGCATTAAATAAAGCCTTTTAAGAACACCTCCCCCTCACTTGCATACATTGATCTGAAACTATATGGCTCAAGGAAAAGCTTATTGCTACAGCAGACCACTAAAAATGAAGGAATTGAGATTATTAGAAGTCAAGGCATGCCTTCTCCCTTCTTTCCTGTGTGTCATCCCCAGATAAAGCCAGTGTTATAAACAACTTTCAGCAAACTATGGAACAAAAATCTTTTGAGTATATTAATCTATTTCCAAAGCACAGATGTTCAGGGAGGAGAGATCCTGAATAATTTTTATCCTGTTTCTAACAACAGACCCACCGCAGCAGCATCCCCCCAGTGCAGGTGGGAGCATCGAGCCCCCTGTGCTGCTGCCCCTGAGCCTGGCACAGCAGCTGGGCACCAGCTTTGCTCCCAGCACTGGGACAGCACAAGCACGTTAAGCACACAGTGCCAGCTGGAGTTGCAGCTGCACTTTGTGTTACCTTCCAATTTCACCAACCACGAGATGTGCTTCACCTGCTGGGTGCAGCCCTGGGAACAGGTCTCAGTGATTCAGCCCTCACGCTCCTCTCGTTTCCCATCCTGTGTTCTGATTGCCCTGCAGGTAGGGAGCTCCTCAGTGTGTTTTCATCCTGCTTTTATTGACCTTTCCTCTGGGTTCTCTCACCAATTTTTGGCATCCTCTGTACATGACAGCCCCCTCCCTGTGAAACAGACACCTCACAATTCCGAGGACAGACTCAGGGCAAGAGTACCTTCTGTTCACATTTCATCCCCAGTGTTGAGCAAAGCACATGGCTGGGCTCAGATCAGCTCCCATGGAGCTCGTGCTCCTGCCCACAGGCTCCAGATGGAAGAATATTAATGTCCACAACAGTAACTGCTGAAACTACAGCCCCTTGTCTGAACCTTTTTGACTTTTCATAGAAGATCTTCCTCCTACAGCATGTGTTTGCCCAGGACTCCCCATGGGGTCCCTCTCCACTCTGATTTATTAATGAGACAAACCTGGAGGAAGCCAGAGAACTGTTGACCTCACTGCAGGACAGAGGAGGAACCTCACCTCGCAGAGGGGCAGGTTAGATCCACAACGCGCTCAGAAAGAAGATGCCCAGCCCTGCAGCAATCACTGCCCCACTGCTGTGTGCTGCCAACACAGAGCAGCTCCCAGTTCATCTACAGTGAGGAACAAGGGGGTAACCATCAATGTTTTGGCTTTTCTTCTGCCATAAGCATAACTGAAGGAGCTCAACAGAAAGGTGAATTCTGCCAAGAGGTATCACCCCAGTCTACGTGGCACAATTAAATAGAATTTTATTTTCAATAAATATACAATCTGCATCATACCAGACAATATACTGTGAAAAAATAAAATGTACAGAAGCAACCAACAGGACAGCTTGACCGTAACTAAGTTCGCTTGGTGACCTGGAGAACTACCAGGGTTAACACACACAACACAGAAAGAGCCACTGCAGTCTGTGAGAGAATTAAAATTGTGTATTTTGGGTCTTCTTAACCGCAAAAGTCCCTGCAGGAGGTTTCTTTTGCACAGCACAAGTTTGGAAGGATGCGAGCTGGTTTTCCCGGTACAAATGGTATTGGAAATGTTTATTTTGCTATATCATCACTGTATCTACTACACACACAGACTGCTATCGAGAGTGGCAGGTCTTACTGCTGACGGGACATCAGATCCATCTGACGTGGGGCCGCACAGCCACACGCGTGCCCCGGCACACAAACGCACGCACTAACAGGAGCTTAATTCTGTTAAAACTAGTACAAGGACAAAACTGGAGTCAGAATCGATTTCACCACAGGTTCTACTGTTTAAAAAAATACTCTAGCCTAATTACCACGTTCACCAACGAGAGCACATGGGTACTTATATCTCTGAGAGGATGAGCCATGGATTTGGACTGGAAGGACAGCAGAGGCAACTCCCAACTCCTCCACCCACTCTGCGCTTACCATGGCACCTCCACGTGCAGCCCGTGCCGCCCGGCCACGCGCTCTGCCACGCGGGATGCAAACAGCTGAGCGGTGCCGGGGGCAAGCAGCGAGAGGTCTGGCCCCAGGGGAACAGCCAGGACCCGGTGGGACATGGTTCACAGACGCCAGTGCGGCCAGTTGGGTGCTGGCAGCTGCTTCAATCCAACAGAGCTGCTGTGGGGTGTGTGTAGGGTGTGAGGTGGGGTGTTTTGGTCACTGGTTTATTTTTTTATCTTGTCCGCCTGCTTGGTCTGGCTGCCGTTAGTCTCCCACCTCATGTCACCTCCAGGGATGCGGGGGAGACGCGGTCACACTCCTCCCGGGACCGCAGGCTGTGCCACTGCTCCACGGCCGTCCGGTGTGCGTTCAGCATCCGGCGCCAGTGGTTGGACTCGGGGGCACCTGTCGAGTACTGCCCGATCACGATCCTCCCAATGAAGTCATTGCTGCTCTTCACGTTGTGCCCGTAGACTGGGGAGAGCAGAAACAGAGAACTGGTCAAGACAAAGGCGCCGCTCGTCCACCCAGAGCCCTGCCCCAGGAAACCAAATATCCTGCACGTGTCCCCTCACACTGTGTGCCAGATGCTGGCATTTCTGGTGTGTGACTTGGCACCTCAAAAATTTTAAAGACCAAAAGAGGAGTTTGGAAGGAATAAAATAAGCTGTACTACAAACTAAAATACAATTCAAACAAGCAAAACACAGATCCACAGTTATCATGGAATTTAGCAAGGACAGGTGAAGTAGAATCATACAGTGGTTTGGGTTGGAAGGGATCTCAAAGATCATCCAGTTCCAGCTCCCCTGCCATAGGCAGGGATACCATCCAGTAGAGCAGGTTGCTCAAAGCCCTGTCATGTCTGGTCTTGAAGCAGAATTACATCATGTAAAGAAGTGCCAAAAGCTCTGCCTGGGCATCATGAAATGACAAAAGCAACCCTGCAACCTGTGCCTGGGGAAATGCAGAAGCAGCATCTCACACTCTCCTCCTCCAAATGCACGTGACCCAAACTGCTCCAGTGCTAATCGACAGCCCTCCCGACTGGAAGACAGGAACTACACACGTCCAGGCTGTCAGCAGGATGTTTACACGGAAATGATTTGCCATAATTATCACTGCAGCTACTTGTTAGAAGTCCAGGAAAGAAACTGAGGGAGAGACCCCACACCCCATCCTTTGGATTAGCCCAGTCTCCTGGAACAAAAGACTGAAGACAGCAGCAAACCCTAATGATGGGCCCGATCCTGGGAAAGGCTGAACACTCCCACCAGACAGGAGCAAAAGCACTTTGTGTGCTATGAATTGAAGCCCTGCTTTGGCTCATTAGAAAGCTGAATAAAAAGTCTTTGCAAGCTGAAGCCAGGATATCCACAGGCACTGGCTAGAATATTAAGGATTAAAAAATCTCCTCAGGAAAGAGAGGGATTTTTAAGAACAAATGTCTGCAGGAGCTCCAAATCCAGCCAGGCTCGTGTAGCAAGAGCATGTTCAGTGTGGAGTGGAGCCGTGAGCCCAGCACTGCCATTGCTGCCCCTGCCAGCAGCACCAGCTCCCCAGGGCTGCTGGAAACCAGCACTGGCAGCAAAGCTACATCTGGGATCCCTCACAGCACACCCTTCCAGGCAGGCAGGACACTGAGCACTAGGCACTTGACCTCAC